GTAACTATAATAAATATAGTATTTTAGATCTTTATAAATTAAAATATAAATATAAATAATATGACTTAATCATATTTGAAAATCCCTTTAAGAAAATCTCGATGCAGTTTAAAAATAAGAAAATAAATTAAAAAATAAATAAAAATGCCAATTAAATTGCACTGTAACCCCCCCCACCCCCACCACCACCACCACAAAAAACAGACTAGCATGTTCGCATAAAAGGAAGTCAGTATTTAAACCCCCACCTAACCGTAATTGATTTTCACTTTGCCACATAAAAATATACTTGTATCTTCATTTGTCAAAAATCCAATAACCCCTTAATAATGATCCAGAAATAAGAATAAACAATAGTAAAGAAAAATTATGCAACTGTAGAAATCCTGAAAATTGCCCTTTAAATAATAAATGCCTCAAAGAATCTGTAGCTTACCAATGCACTATCTCATCTATTGATAATCCTAATATTGTTAAATTTTATATTGGATCTATTAAAAATGAATTTAAATTAAGATGGAGCCAATATCTGACTTCCTTCAATAATATTAAGTATTGTAACCAAACATCAATATTCAAATATTTTTGGTATATAAAAGAAACAAATAAAACACCCACAGTAAAATAGTAACTAATAAAAAAACGAGAAAATGTATATCTTTAAATGACCAATGTCCTTTGTGTCCGCATGAAAAGTTATATATTATTATGTTTTTGATAGATAAACACCATCTCATATTTTCCTTAAAAAATAATTAATTATAAAAATAATTTCCATAGTTATATATCTATTATTTGATCATAAATAAAATAGTTTATTAATGCGTAATTAAATTCTGATATTTTTATTTTATAATACCATATATAGTTTCTTAGTAAATATAATAAATATATTATTTTAGATCTCTATAAATAAAAATATAAATATAAATAATATGACTTAATCATATTTTAAAACCCCTGTCAGAGTTAACTCCTCCTTAATTTTCTAATTGACCAAATTGTTCCTAGGAGGCGCTATCCCTAAACTATAAATACTTGAGAATACTTTGTTCTCTCTCTCTTTTTCCACTTGTCAACGGACACACTTGAAAAATGTGATCTTGCGTGGAGATGCACATTTCCCACTTGTGAGAAGAAGCTATGAACATTATGCGCACACACGCACACATACATATGAACATACTTTGGAACACAAACTCTTTATGTTCATGCATACACACATGTAAATGTTTTTGTCTTTTGTAAACCCTTTTTGTTGTTTAATACATATACCAGTTTGTACATATATATCAGTTCTTGGTTGTTTTCTTTTATATTTCTTTTGGGTGGACTTATCTTGAATCCATCATGTTTGAAGTGGATTTTATTTCAGGAGACCACATGGGTTCATATCACAACGAGTAAAAAACGGGTCTGCTACACCCCTTTAAGAAAATCTTGATGTAGTTTCAGAATATAAGAAAATTAATAAAAAATAAATATAAATGCCAAATATATTGTAATTCAAAATAAAATTAAAAAATAGAGACTTTGGTAACAAGTTCGCATAAGAGAAAGTCAGTATCAACAGAGAGAATCTCTAACCCCCACCTAACATTAACTGACTTTCAATTTGCCTCATAAAAATTATACTCGTATCTTCATGCATCAAAAAAGCCAACACCCACTTAATAAAAAATCTGAATTATTAACCCACCAACTTAAGATATATAATAATATCTGGCTTATAAATAGAGTAAATCAATTTTTTTTTTAGGATATTCTCAACATCACTTGAAAATGGAATGAAACTTCAAATTTTAAGTTTATTTTTAATTTAAGATTTAAGTTTTGGTTTCAAAATTTCTGTGTCACAATAGTCAACATATTGTTAAAAAATAATTATAATTATATATATATATATATATATATATATATATATATATATATATATATATATATATAAAATACTAATAATAATAATAAATAAATATATTATATTATAATAAATAAATAAATATATTATATTATATTATTACTTTGTCCTGGACATTGAGTTTTACTTGGATTCTATCCTCTTGGAAATTTATTTATATAGATTTATATATATATATTTATATTATATATATATATATATATATATATTGACCACTAATATTATCTATCTATCTATCTATCTCTCTCTCTCTCTCTCTCTATATATATATATATATATATATATATAAAAATATAAAGTGAACATTGAAGTCAACACTTCATATATATATATATATATATATATATATATATATATGTTAAGAAATGGACAAGGTCCGACAATTTATTTATTAAAGACATTTTTATTTATGTTTAACGTTGTTATTTTATAGATACAAGTATTTAAGCAAATGCTCTGTTTAAGATAAACAGTATTAAATAACATTTACGGCCTGAATGTCCGAGAAATTTTCATAGAAAATATTCGTTCATAGACAGGATTCGAACCTGCATCCTATACGGAACCGTCATATCGCTGACATACCTTAACCACTTTCGCCACCATGAACCTTATGAAAATTCTTCTATGAAAATTTCTCGGACATTCAGGCCGGTAAATGTTATTTAATACTGTTTATCTTAAACAGAGCATTTGCTTAAATACTTGTATCTATAAAATAACAACGTTATATATATATATATAATAATGGACTCTCCAGTTGGTTTTGACGTATGAGGATCTGACAGCTTAATTGATTCAGTTGTGAAATTTTGTGCACTTAAGATCTGCTAGTGATTTATAAAGGAGGCCACATATGGAGCAAGAGTGAGAATTGGGAAATGAGATCACTGTTAGATTGGCTGACCTTTTAGGTTTTGCTCTCACTTCTTGAAGATGATTCAGGCAAGCAGATTAAAAACTGCTGAGTCCACTAAAACACATTGATCTTCATTCTACCCGCTCCAAGGCTAAGTGCTCAAGGGTGTTATGTGGTATATTGACAGCTGAGAAAATATATATATATACAATGCAACTTGCAGGAAATCGTCATCAGAGCTGTTTTAATTTGAAAGCAAACTGAAGATCTTCAGCACTGTTGATTGTTTCTGAGCATGTCCATCTGCTCAGGCTCAAAACCCACAGGGCCAACTTCTGGTTCATACTATGTTGAGCTGCCTTAGTTACTTCTCAAGTACATGACCCACCAGACTTACATAAGGTTTTGAATTATGCTCCAGGAAAGAGCCAACAAAAATTAAATTTAAAATAAGATAAAATTAATTTTCAAGTGTAGTAAAAATCATTTTTAACTCATTCTTGTTGGTGGAACAAAGTAGTAAGCAACTTTGCAACAGGTTCTAGTCAGTCAACTCAAACTATCAGTTTCTCAGCACCAAGCAAAATAAAGCCGATAAAAATCAAAACACTCATCAACTGAAACTGTGGTGGACATTAATTTAACTTTAGATTAGGAAACAGGGTTGATGCAGAAATGGATAACCAAAAGACACTGTTACACATAAAATATGTATTTAATAAGATGTACAATATCAAACAATGATGTGAAGGAAAGCATGCATTTAAGTAAGAAAAGGTTAAATTAATTAAGTTGTCTCTGTTTAACTGTTATTTTATTGTTGCAAAGTTCACTGGAAGAATGTTCATGAGAGTCTCTTATAATGATTGTTCTTGAAAGATATTGCTGTGTAAGAAGAGTTTATGTGAGTGTGTACAAGGTATGTTCAGCATGTGAGTGGTGTGTGAGTGAGAAAGTTGGCTCATAGTTTCAACTGTCGTGGATTCATTTGGCAGTTGAATTTCTCACTAATTAGGATTAGAAAACTCTTGCTTAAATACGTGACTTCACGTGTAAACGATCTGATTGGTTGGCATTGACCAATCAATGAGCAAGCTTTGGAGAGACTTAAGAAAGCTTCTGTGATCCGTGTCTCCCAAAAGTGCACAAAATTGACTACTTAAAAATAGAGCGATTACAAAATTGTCATGCTACTGTGATTTGTAAATTGTCTATAATAAAGTAGTGGTGATTAATGTTCGTGCATAATAGAACCGCACAAGACTATCTTCTAAAAGTCAACTCACTTATACTTTGTTTTATTCTGTAAACTGTAACAACATTAATTAAAATGTATAAATTTTTCTTCAGACATATAGTGGTTGTTAAGTCCTATTTCCACAAGCCAATCAGAAAGAAAATGTATTTCCAGTAAGGTTATAACATCATAGTTTGTCAAGCATGTAGTGTTTATGAATAAAAACTATAAAAGTATATATAAATTTACATTTAATAAAACAAACAAATGTATATTTTAAATGATGTATAATTTTTATCTTTCTCTGTAAATTGTGTTAATTAAATTTTATTTTAATTTGGTATCCACTTAGCATAGATATTCTATTTTATTAATAATTTTTTATAAAAATATTTTTTTATTTTGTCTGAAACTGATTAAGAGAATATGTTCTAACATGTCTACTATAATTTGTCTATTTGATCAAATCTCAATTTATATAGACTTTTTAAAGTTTTTCTTCACACACAATACAAAACATTTAATTTACACTTAATATTGACAGTTTTTATTCTTCATAGAAACATTCATTGAAATTTAAAATTTTTCATTTCATAGAAAAATATTTAGAAAAACTTAGATATATTTAATTTTTTGTCTAAATATTTTATTAAATTCATTTATTTCTTAAATTTAAATATGTTTATTTTTGTTTTGTTGAGAAATTGAAAATTCATGATTATTTTGATAACTGAAGTCACAATTTTAATCAATATTTATTTATCCTTAAAGTGAGAAAACTTTTTAAAAAGTTAAAACTTACATAGAAAATCATGAAACGGGAGAGTTATAAATTCAAGGGCAGATAACTAGGCACGACTCTATTCCCTTAATGTGAAAACCGCGGGAAAATTACACAAATCTTTTGAGATTGTTTAGGGCGCTTGGTGGCCAGTCTTTTCGACTTGAGTATTCGCTCCTCGTTAAAAAGCAACAAATAAGTAATCATGGGTGTAAGTATTTTTCGAATTAATATTTTTTTGTTTGGTGTTGAAAAGAAATGCAGTCAAAAATGTCTCTCTTTTTATGAGGCTGTGTTAATTTTTACTTTGAAATCTTCATTCGTCGCGTGTTGTGTGTGCAAAATTTTTAAAAAACGGAAAATGACTTCCAAGTTTATTAGTTGAAGTTGAAGCAGTCTCTTCCGTCCTAAGCGAAAGAATTTAACTATCTTCTTAACTCTAAAAAGAAAAATATTAATCAGAAACGGAGTTTTTTCGTGTGTAAAACAGATCTTTGTGTGAAAAAAAAATGAACTACCTTACAGTACACACTACACTACACTACACTACAGCCTTAATGTTTCCAACAAAAGGAGTTTTGTCATTTTTTTTTTCTTTTATGCAAATTCTTACACCATATTTAATAGAATAAAACTTCATACCAACAACTTATTAATTTACTTTTTTTTTATGAAAACAGAACTGTAAAGTTAAAGTAAAAATACCCAAAGTTTTTAATTAAAAAATCTACGTCATTCATTTTTAGAGCCTTCTTTTTTTTCGTTTAGTTTTTAACAACGTGTTTAAAAAGTCAAAACATTTATTCGTATTTAAAATTGTTAATGTTTATAGACATGATTATAAAATAATCACAAATTGTGCTATTTTTCATCTAGAAGCAAGAGAGAAAAAAATGACTACGGAAGTTTAGAATGAAGAACCATTTTTATTTTCAGTTTAATTTTCAGAAAATTTAATCCCGACTTGAAAATTGTAACAATACATTGTTTTTTGTTGTTTTTTTTTTTTAACTTCTGATGTTTACCAACCTGAGACTCGTCAAAGCTTCAAAGCTGGAAATATCGGGAAACTAAGACAAAATCCAGGTAAAAAAAAGAAACCGTTAGACCTGTTTTTGCACTTTTCGTTTTTATAACCCTGAAGACATAGTAGAAATCCCGGATTTCGTGCTCTTCTTGTGAATCAACAATTCCTGGATTTATAAATAACGAAATATGCCGCCATAATAATAATAATGTCGACGCCTTTTGGCATGGAAATTATTGACAGTAGTAAATAAGACTTAAACGTAGTTCTGAAAAAAAACAAAAAACATCTACTACAAAGATATCACTCGCAAAACTAGGTTGTGACTTTTTTTCCTAGCCAAAATTGTGACTTTTTCTGTGACTTACCGGCCATTCTAAGACATGGTTTCTGCAAGACGAGTTTTATTTTTTGTCTATTTTTAAAAAGATAAAACTTGTGCAGTGTACCGTAGAATTAAATTTCTTCTAAATGCGAATGTCAATGTGTCACGCTTTAGTTTTTCAAGTTAACTCTTGGAGGCCGTAGCCAAACATATACCATTTTGGAATTAGGCCGACTCCATGAGCAAATTAAAACATTCCTAGTCTGATCCAGACCCACAATCCTGAAAGTTGGGATTCTCAAGTTTGCATTACTGCGATTGTTTTCGGCGATATTATTTTTTTTTTTTTTTTTTTTTTTCGACGAACTTTTTGGGAACTTGGAAATAAATTTGGGAATAATCGAAATTAATTGAGAAATCCAACGAAAGTCACAGATGAAATAAAAAAAAATAATTATTTGTACGGAAAGTAAGGACCTACGCACATCAAATTGTCTTTTTAAATTAACTGACGACAGAAGAATTATTGTTGAACTTTTAAAAAGTCAACTTAATGCAATAATCTATTTTGAATTCTTCTGTAATTTATTGTTGCCTATCGCATGTACTCCTTCACTATTGTGATGACGACCCAATCAAGAACTCTCCGCAGGAGCTAGGTTAAATGCCGCCAGATGGGGTGGCTTTTATGCTAGTTAATAATGCATCTCATTTTTAGCAATTTGATAAAAACTTTTTCTTTTTTTTTTTTTTCTTTTTTTTCTTTTTTAAACAATATCAAGTTAAATAATACTTATTTAATTAGTATTTGTAAAAGTTATTGACAAACAGATTTCAAATTCTGGCCAAGTCTGTTGTTTTCACTTTTGCACCGCCCTTGAATGTCAATCAAGCTGTGGATTAAATTTTCTCACTTGTGGAACTCTCTTCTGGCATCATCCTTTCCAGGCAACCTTCATCTCCAAAAAATCAAATGCAATGTCTAGCGTTATCTACTATCTTCCCAGTTAATGTTATTGCTACCGTTCCTTCATAATATTTACTAATTCATTCACTGAAATTCTAAAAACCAAAGTAGCAGACTCTGGGTGACGGAGATGTGGTTCTACAGAAGGATGCTGAGGATATCACGGACCGAGCATTTGAGGAATGATGAGGTCTTGGAGAGGATGCAAACAAGGAGGAAGCTTATGCTCAACATAAAGAAGAGGCTGATGAAATTTCTGGGACACATGATGAGAAAGGAGGGCCTGGAGAATCTGATACTCACAGGACGAATAGAGGGAAAAAGAGACGGGAAAGCAGTGTATGGCATACGTGGTGGGCTTGGACTGGGGGAGTTGGCAGAAACACAAAACCTGCTGAGAGCCACAAGGGATAGGGGGAAGTGGAGGGCCATGATTATCTACATTCTGAAAGGATAAAAAAATGAAGAATTCATTCACAACCAGTAACCCCTTGTGCCTTAGTGGCTTTACTGCTTTGCTTGGGGTGAGTTTGATTAAAAAAAAAAAAAAAAAAATTATAGTAGATTGGAGATTTCTGGCTTTGAGGGGTAACTAGTCTAAAAGTAGGGGACTGAAGAAGACAGCAGTGGGGGCAGGGACCCCAATCCGCAATATTTGGTGATTCACAAATTAAAGATAAGAAAATTAATCTGTGTAGAGCCATAATGACCCTACATGTTCCTGAAGGGACATGCCTCCACTCCATGAATACCTGTTTCCAACCTTTTCTTTTCTATTATTGCTTATTTGTTTACCAAGTTTAAAACATACTTAGTTAACTTTGATATTTTTTTCTTAGTCAATCAAGTTTGAATGATGAAATGTGTCTACTTCTTTTGAGATATATAGGGATCTAAATGAAATAATAATAAAAAAAACGAAAGAATATTAATCTACAACCCAGTGTGTCTGAAGATTTTAATTTTTTAATTGTTCTATATATATATATATATATATATATATATATATATATATATATGTAATGTGTATATACTAGTTTATTCAAACGCTTTCTAAACTCAGTGGTTAAAAATGTCTTTGAGCATGTGAAGCCTGTGGGTCTTGACAATGACCAAACTTCTTCAAACCTTATAGATTGGAGCTACAGAATCGCTAACCAGAACTGCATCAGATAACGAATCACATCACTTGAAAACTTTTAACTAAAATGGATAGCACGTGTAACTCAAAGAGAAAGTGATATAATCAAGATGTTATTATTCCACATAACTTCAAATAAAAGGTTAGGAAGGAAACCTCCATCAATACTGCAAAGAGCAATAACAGCTATTGGACTTGAGAAATCTGTTTTCCTGAAAAAATTGTTCTAAGTGAAAAATTTCATAAGTTTCCACCAAAAGTAGCATTGGCTGCTTGGTCACTGAATGCTGAACCTTTCCTTATAATAGCTAATTTTACCATTATTTGTACTGTCAAAAAATGATAACAGTTAAGTTTTGAATATTATTAAATACAGTGCAATTGCAAAATCTGCACAGTCAACATAATTTAAATCATAAATAATAGTGCTTTAATTGGTAAGTTCGGAAGGGAAAAAAAAAAACTCCATTTCTTCTACATTATCAGAGGAGAAATATGCAACTTGCTTGTCGCCTATGTCATAGACTTTGTGATATAGAAAAACGTTATGTACAATAAATCTTTAGAAAAGGCTTTAATATTTACTGCCATTTTTTTTTTTTTTTTATCCTGATATCAGATCTGTTTCTTGTTTCCTAATGTTGGCCATGACGTTTTAATGGCATCTAAATAAACCTATTACTCAGTTTTTGTTTTCTTTGCAGAGAAAATCAGCAAAATCTTTAGAAAAGAAATTACGAAAAAAAGAGGTGAGCCTTTTGAATGTTTTACATTTTGAAAGCATAACTGAACTGAATCTGATTGACTGTGGACAATTTGCCAATCATTGTACCATAGCCTGTATGATTACCATCAACCCTGGGTCTCATATCCCACCCCCTATGTAAAAAGAATGTTGTTGTCTATGAATTCTCATGCCATGCATCTCGAACACCAATATTCAAATAATATTAAATACTTACATTGGGCACATATGCACCACTCTCTCTTGCAGATTAACCTGTAACTTCTCTAAACTCTGCAAGAGACAAATATCTTAAGTTGATAAAGACAAATATTAGTGAATAACACCAAAATACTCTACAGCATCCATTGCAAGGAAAGACTGAAAGCTCAAGAAGTTATTCTTACACAAAATAAACAACCTGCATTAAATAAAATAACCTTCTCTATAGGAGAAGGTATCTTGAAGTACATATGATATAATTAATGTGTGCACATAATATATTAGCCTTAAAAAAATAACATGGACACCACATTGGTTCTTGATGATGACTGCAAAAGTTAAAAGTACTTGAAAAAAAATGATAAAGTATTAACTTCAGATAGTTTGTTCACAGTTCATCATCTTAACCAAAAATTGGAAAAATATAATAAAAAAAAAATTAAACCAATATAACTTGTGGGTTTTTTAATCAAACTTGTTTAGATGTATACTTGCTGCCTAAATATACCTTATTCGTGTGATATATATTATGAAAATGTAATTTTAAGGTGTGCTATTTTTATGGGTAAAATTTAGTGATAGGATGATTTATCAAAATGGAAATATCAAACATTTTTAGGGAATTGGAGAATTTTTGACTCCAAAAGCTATTCTTTGTATTTAATTTTTGTTTAAAACTTAATTTTCCATTCCTGGTACTAATGATAAAAAAATATAAATATTTATTGAATTTTTTTTTTTTTTTTTTTTTTTAAACTATCAGTATAACTAAAATCAATAGATCATAACACTTTAGTGTTAAAAAAAAAAAATTAATGTTTAAAAAGAAATTTATTTTAACTTCAAACTAGTGAACTTTATGGAAACTTCAAGAGCTGAGTAGAAACTTGCACATTTTTTTTTTTTTTTTTTTTGTGTTAAAAAAAAAAAGTCAAGGTTCTATATCCTGAAGGGTTCTGGCATTTGAAAATTAAAATGATATGGTTCAAAGAAAGAAAATCTTAAATCTTTCTGGAAATGCATTTGCCAGGCTAAAAAAAAAGTTAAACTGGATTTGAACTTAAAATTGTTAGAAGTGAATCAGAAAATCTGAAATTTATTGAACATTTTATTGTTTAAACCTTTATAAAAATGGAATCAATAATTTGAGATGATCGATGAACCTAATAAGTTTTCTGATTTATAATTGAATGAAAAATTAGGAACAAGAAAAATGAGAAATCTTATGGCATTTTTTTTTTCTTTTTAAAGGAAAAAGCTTGTTTAAAAGCGTCATTAGCAAAAGTTGAAGCTGCCAACAAGGTAAGTACTCTTGTTTGTCATGCTAGAATTTTAATTGGATTTTTCTTGGAGTTTGTCACCTGAATTTTAAATTCAAAAGGAATTAGTTTATTGGTTCTCATTTTTCAGGAGTTATGGAGATGAAAAAAAAAACCTCCCTCTCTGTGTGAGTTAAATGAAATTTGTTCTTTTGTGAACTGGAGCATCAACATTGGGATGTCTTCTCTCTGTCCTCCTCTTCTCTCTGTCTTCCTCTTCTCTCTGTCTTCCTTTTCATTTGTACCCCCCTACCTGTTAAAACAACAACCAGCATTCATACTTATGATTATTATTGCAATATTTTGTTTACAGTTGTTAAGCTTAAATATTTAATGATGTGATAGGGGAATTTCTATGGATAATATATTCTTGTAGAACTCTCCATGAGCTTAGTCAATCATTAACTGAGTAATTAAGATTTATGTAGAATTTTAAATTTTCATGTGTTAAAACTAATATAAATAAATACACATTGATAATTTTATATGGTATGAGTGAAGGCGTTATTTCTCCTTGGACAAATCATGGTTTACCAAGATGCCAGTACAGATCAACTTACTGTATTTTCCTTGGAAGACGCACCTTATATTGGAAATAAATTTTCTAAGAAAAAATGTCTTCTTATACAATATATTCACCATGCGTCCCTCACATACTGGCGCCACATATTGTTTACATTAATCACTCGTCCGATTTTGTTTGTATGGAAATGACATACTAGTCGAGTAGAAAGGCTCTCACAGAGCATGTTTAAGATTGTGGCTTGGCTCCAGGAAGGTTTATAGTCTGGGAAATACTTGTAACAGCTAAGTACTGAGATTACATCATATATAAGGCTGAATTAGCTAACATTATAGTGTGATGAATCAACATACAAATCCCAGTCCCTATCAGTCAAGCCAATTAGGTGACCATCCAAGCTTACTTGAGCCTGACTGTTGCCTTACATTCGTCTTTTAACACTAGCTGTCTGTTGCTGCAGTTCAGGTGAAGAGATATTTGTAATTTTATGTTCATTTATGGAGCCACTTAAAAAAAAAATTGACCTTATGAAAATTTTTCTTGAAACTAGAGATAATTTCTTTTGCACAATTGAACACATTCATTTTATTTTTTTTGTCTGGTCTGAAGAACTCTTGTAATGAGAAGGAATCTTGTCAAAGTCAACCTTGCTGCTTTATAAATCTACCATTCATCCATGCACTAAATACTGCTGCCATATCCGGTCTGGTTATCCTGCAGTCCATCTTGAGGTTCTTGACAAAATTCCAAGAAGAATCTTAATGTAATCAATTCAGACCTGGCATCTCAACTTCAGTCATTTTCCCACCACTGTGATGTGGCTTACCTGTCTTTTCTATAAATAATTTCATGACCACTGTTTTGACAAGATTTTTTTTTTTTTTTCCTGGGTCCCTGGCCATATGAATTTAAGTGTGCTACTAGATTGGCATTTAGGTCCCACCCATTTACTGTTGTAATCATTAAATATAACTGCCACTTCTACTCTAACAGTTTCTTTTCTCATACTTCCTGCCTTCCATTTACTTGCTTCCCTGATAAATACAATCTTCAAAACTTTAAATGCAATGCCAATCACCATCTATCTTCTTGAATCCTGTTCATCTTTTGCCTTTTTCTCAATCCTCCCTATACCCAGTCTTTTCTCTTACTTTAACTCCATGTAACCCCTTGTGGAGGCAAGGTGGAGTAATGGATAGTGGCTCAGATTGAGGAATGAGAGAGTTCGAATGCTAGTTGAATCCATTACATTCAATACTAATACTCTTGAGGAAGTTATGAATCCTCCTCTTCTCTGTCTGACTATGGATAAATAGCAGGACAGACTGGGTTCTATAGCCTTGGATGGTAACTGTTCTAGAAGGACAACACTGAATTCAAAACCTGCAGAGGGTCATTTGAGGACCTTGTGGCATCCAGTGCACCAGGTCTCTGTATTTGGCTTTTCAAAAGGTGAGGTTGTTTCTGTACAAAACCTTCACAACTATAGTCAAATCATATATATATATATTAAAAAAAATTAAAATCTTCAGAGACACTGGGTTGTAGATTAATATTCTTTTGTTTTTATTATTATTATTTCATCTAGATTCCTCGACTAGTTTTGACCGAAATGGCCATCATCAGGGGAAGAAATATTTCTGCTTGCTGGTAGCAGTAAACTACAGAAATAAACGTCTTGATGGAGAAAATGAACTTTTGTCTGCAGTTTTCATTCTTTTTAACATGAATCTTTTAACATTCCTTGTGTTGGTCACACAGTCTCTTTTAAGTTGTTATTTGAGATAAGAGCTGAATGGATCTATGCTGCTCTGAATTCCCCTGGTCAGTTTAACAGTTTTATTGGTTCCTGGAGAGGGGATGTGTCTCTGTTAAGTGTGTGTGTGTGTTATTTGGTTCTTTGGAAGTGAGTGAGTATGATATATGTAAGTGTGTATATTGCTGTGGGTGTGTTATCATTTGGTTCATTAGGGAGTGAGTGTGTATGTTCGTGGGGGTGTGTGTATAAGTGTGAGCCCTCAACACCTCCGTAAGCATGTCTGTCTTGTGTGGGTGAGAAATGTGGGTAGGTTTTGATTTGTAGGGTTATATATTAATACTATCTATATTGTTAAATTTATGGTTTAGTCCGGCTGGATAGTGTGTTTTTTAGACGTTGTATCCACTTATTTTCATGGAACTCTAAAATCTTTCTAATGTTATCTGCTCTGAACTTTTACTCATTACTCCACCATGCTTCCTCTATAATATATATATATATATATATATATATATATATATATAATAGAGGAAGCATGGTGTAATGGATAATGGCTCAGATTCCAGTCGGATCCATTACATTCACTTATGTGCTAATACCCTTGGGGAAAGGTATGAATCCTCTTCTCCCCCCACCCCCAGCTATGGGTAAATAGCAGGACACACTTGGTGGTAATTGGTCTAGGAGAAGGAAAAACTTAGTTCAAAATTGGCCTGAAGAAGGTTAGGCTCTTTCAAGCTTTCTTGCTCAAGAAACATCACTTCTACTGTGGCTGCAGTACACATGGTGCCCCTATGGGTCATGGGATAAAAGAAAAAAATAAATCCATGTTTACTAGTGGGGGATTTTTCCACATTTTGCTTGGGATGAAAGGATTAAAAATAAATAAAATAATGTATTTTTGTAAATTTGCCACCTTTTTTGTTTTATTTTCTCGATGTTAATTTATCTTTTTTTTTTCTCTTTCAGCTTGAAGATCCAATGTCAACACTCTTACCTTTTAAAAAATTTGAAAGAAATGGGTTTGTATTTAAACTTTTTTTTTTTTTTTTTTTTTTTTTATGCACAAATAAAGCATAAAAATGTCGTATTAGATCTCCCACCCCTTAAAAAAATACCTAGGGAAATATCTTCAAACTTTCTGATGCTTTCATATCTAATGTTTATTTACACTATTTACAATTGGATTATTATTGTCATCTTTTTTTCTACATTTTAGTTGTTTTGTTCTCTGGCCTTCATCAGGTGTATATCAATCTGGGTAAACCTTTTAGTTAATCTACAGGAGATGACATGAAATTAAACATGCCATTAAGAATACCAATCGGGCTGTCTCTCAGTTTGCCCATGACTATTAGATCAGTCTTCTGATAGTATACAAGAATTAAAATCTATACACACAATACAAAGAAAGTTATAACAATTTTAAAACAGTAGGTGTTCATGTTTTTGCACCCTCAAAAAAAAAATGATGTGGTAGGGGATCAATTCTAGAAAGAAATTTGTGTGGTAAAGGTTAAACAACTATTTCAACAGTAAATTGGTGAGACCTAGATGCCAATCTAGTAGTATGCTTAAATTCATGTAGTGGGGGCATCAGGGGAAAAAAAAGCTTGTCAGAGCTGTTGTTATGAAAATATTTGTAGAAAAGACAGAGGGAAGCCAAGCCACGTCATGTCGGTGAGAAAGTGACTGAAGTCAAGATGCCAAGTCAGGATTGATTACATTGCAGATCCTTGTTTGGATTTTGTCAAGAACCTCAAGATGAATAGCAGTAGCACCAGACCAGATATGGCAACAGTATTCAACACACAGACGAATGGTAGATTTGTAAATATGCAAGATAGACTCTGACAAGAAAAACAGTGACAAGGGGAACACTTCGAGAAAGAAATTAGTGTGGTAATGGTTAATGTTACGAGTTAGATTATGTACACATCTATGTAGTTTACAACATTAGATTTGGTCTGAATTTCTGGGATGATCAGTTACAGTATTTACATTTGGATTATTATCCTCATCTTTAGTTGTTATCACAACATTTTGGCTGTTGTGTTCTCCAGCCTTCCTCAGGTGTATATCAGTCTGGGTAAACCTTTTAGTTAATCTACAAGTGAGGACTGTTCTTGTTCCACTGTCCATGTCTAAGGATATTTTGTCTAGTTCTTATTTTTAGTAATGTTCAGTTATTGCTTGCCTATTTCCAGTCCAAGTACACACTGCTCATCCTAGGGAATAAACTTGCGATTGTTATGTCAAATAAGAACTAAATGAGATATCCCTAGACATGGCCAGTGGAAAGAGAACAATGGCCAAAACTTTGATAATAGCAACAAAGATTAAGCCAATAATCCAAATGTAAGTAGTGTAAATAACAGATCATCCCAGAAATTCAGGCCAAATTTAATATTGTAAACTACACCTAACTTGTAATATTAACTTTTACCATGCTAATTTATTCCCCCTGCACCTACTGTTTTAAAATAATAACTTTTTTTTTGTATTGTGCATATAGATTTTAATTATTGTACACTAATAAAAGACTGAGTAATATCTTGATGTATTGCATTACATCTTGCATGCATGTTTTGATGTTGAAAACAAAAAAATTGAAATGTTAAATAAAAAACAAATACATTAAAAAATACATAAATAATTCAACGTATTTTAACTTTTATTACTTTGTTGAGTTCTGGGGGTGCAATAAAAAACAAAATTGCTAAGAAGGCTTTCATTTCATAAAAAAAAAAGGTGATGTGTTTCCTCGTGTTTACACATGAGAAGACACTAACATTTGTTTCTTTCTTTCACCTGATTCCATTATGTCTTGTTGATCATTAAAGTCATTATTTCCTCGTTTATAAAAAGAGAAAATAATTCACCTTCAGAAAGGTTATCAGGTATATCAATGATCACTGGTATCTTCTATAAAATTAGTCAGGCATGGATGATAGTAGCTGCTAGTGGTCATCATCGCTTTCCATCACATCACTAGCATGGTTATCATCTTCGACCACTTCACCATCAATATCCACTCGATTAAAGCCATCAAAATCATCATTGGAGTCCTAATCAAAGAAAAACTCATGAATAAAGATTTTATTGGATACTGATGCAGACGTTATTGTTTACAAAAAATCGAAAAAATTAATGTGGGTTTAATTGGTGTCTCACCTCATGTAGAGTCTAGAAGAATTCAAAATGGTGTTGGAAAATGGAAGTTTAACCTTGTTCCAAAGCAGTAGTAGGCGATTTCCAGCTTAAAATACCGGAAATAACAGTTGACAAGTGTTTATTTATAGCAACTGTCTCAAGGCAACAGAATGTGCCTCGAGTAGCAAAGGGAGAGAATTCTATGATGACAATTTTTGCCTGCAGCATTGTAAAGGTTAAATGCAAATAAGGAAGCTTATTTATGAAGGTGATGTATTTGGGAGGCTAATGTTTACCCAGAAACCATTGGTTATAATACTTGTAGCCAACCTAACAAATTATTGTAATATTAAATACAAATAGAATAGCTAATGTATGAACTCAACATTTGGCAAGCAGAAACAGATCAATGATCCGATTTCTTTGGTTGGAAGATGTATCAGCGGCTAAAATTCATCAAAGGCTTTTTTAATACAATATAGCAACAGTGCACTACCATTAGAAATGTGTGTGACTGGGTCAAGAAGTTTAAAAGTGGCTGGACAACTGCGATGAATGAAGGAGGAGCAGGATGCCCATCAACCTCCACCACTGACAAGAAGAGTCAGCAAGCTCGAGAGATGATAATGGCAAACTGGCTAGTTATGAGGTAGCATGTCCTCTGCAGATTCAGATCACTGCTCTTTGTTCCTCCTTGGTGCACACTGCTAGTGGAGTGGCCATGTTTACATTGTACCAGCTCCAATAAAACTGGTGCGATCAAGCTCAAACTTCAATCACGGGACCACAATAGTCCCAACTAAAAGCATGCATCAGCAGAAGGCAGTATGACAAACTTAAAGGCATGTTATGGTGAAAGTGCAGATAATTTTTTTACTGCCCTTGTGGTTATTTGATGTTCAGATTAGAAGATGGCCATAATGTATTGCAAACATTTTTTGGATTTCTTCTATTAGATCAGGCATGAGCAAGCTTTTTTTCAAACAGTGGGCCACACTACTAAAAAAAAAAGATAACGATGCTGCAGCCATTTTCCCAACAAAAGACCATGCACATCAGCATCTGACTTAGAAATAGAGAAAAGTCAATTTTTATTCTTTGGAGAAAAGATTCCTTCTATAATAAAACAAACTGAAATCTTGGTATAATATCACTGATGGCAGTAATTAACACACACACACACACACACACTGTTGCATCTACTTTGTTTCTAAGTTATTCATTTGGCAATGCAAAAATTTTTTTTTTTTAAAAGAAGTATGTTTATTCTCCAGAGAAAAATATTTTCAGTTTCTGAAGCAAAAGGTGTTTACATTTATGATCTTCCTTAGTGAAAATTGCCAACTGTTTAAAATGTTGATGGTGTTCTCTTCAGTGAAAAATTACAAAATTCAAGAAACATTGTACTTAATCATTGTTCTTGTGTGTGAGTGAACAAGTGAGAATGAAAGGGAACAAACATTTTAATAATATTTTCCTCATGAAATTAAGCATGCTATTCAGAATGCCAATTGGGTCGCCAGTGGGCTGCAGTTTGCCCAGACT